GGAAGGAAGGAAGGAAGGAAGGAAGGAAGGAAGGAAGGAAGGAAGGAAGGAAGAAAGGAAGGAAGGAAGGAAGGAAAGAAAAAGAAAGAAAGAAAGAAAGAAAGAAAGAAAGAAAGAAAGAAAGAAAGAGAAAGAAAGAAAGAAAAAGAAAGGCTTTAAAAGACTTTGCAGAGGCACTCTGCTTAATTAGAAACCTCCATTAATTTTAACAAAAAGTGATTAGTAAAAGCTTGGGTTGCCTTGGGTGTGTTGGGCTTCTGCTAGTAGTGCTAGTGGTGCCTTGTCTTCCTTTTTTTTCCCCCCTCATTTAAATATGTAAGGTCTCTGCCACTTTAAAGTTCTATGTATTTTAACAAATACTTAAATAACAGATTCAGATATTTGTCTCTTTCTACTCAAATATTCTGACCCTCCTATTCATTGTTCTTTCTCAAATCAAATCTCCCCCCCAATCAAAGTTAAATGGAGAGACACTTGAGATCAGACCTACTGAATAATCAGTAGATTTCTTCTCTTATGCGTTCATAGCCCATGGATTCATGCTTCTTCATTTTTCTAAGGGGGGAGATGCAGAATTGATGGAAGACAGCTGAAAACAGTCAGCTGCGTGAAGTCCAGCACTACCAGCATCTGATCTTAATCATAATATATCCTCTGTCTGGTTTGTCAAAATCTATCACTCAAGAACACCTTCAATGGACAGTAATTTGAGGTGTGGCTTATTAGATCACACGATCTTATGAATAATAAAAAGTTATGGAAAATTGCATCCAGGCCTGCTATCCAATTTTCAGTGGTGTCACCCACTTTATAGTAAGGCAGCATGTTTATGCATGATTTCTGTTTCATATGTATTGACTAGATCATTTTCTCTGTTGTCCTGAGAATTGATGACACACACTGTATTAAGAATGATGACCTCCACAAGGGGGATAACACTTCCTCTAGATTACACTATTGTCAAAACATATTGAAATTTTCTTTACACATGTTACTGCTGTATTTTTCTGCCTGAAAGACCCTGTTAAAGTGAAATCTTGTTGTATTTTTTTTTGCTAAATAAGATCCGAGGGACAGGTGTCGAATTTTTCTTCCCTCCTAATACTTCTGTGGAATGACCAATGAAAAATAATAGCATCATCCTTCAAAACAATCCCTGTCAGGACGATGTCAACCCTTCGGGGCAATTTTGATAACCTTTTTGGAGGAATTTGCAAGATACCACTTCCTTTTGCACACTTAAAGATAATACCATGTAGGAGCCGAGAAAGCCCATTATGTATGGGTTCTAATATTTGGATGGATAATAGGCAGCTGAAGGAAATTCGAATAGCAAAAAGCTTCAATGAAGATTGTTTTCTCTCCCAGTTTCCCTGACAGCATCTCACTGAGGGTGATATTATTATTCCTCACAGCCACCGACCCACCCCCCCCCAAACCACGCATGCATCTCCTTTTTAGGAGTCTACACGGAGCTCAACTTGCAGTGATGTAACACCACTGCTGATTCCACGGGTATGTGAAAATAGTGTGCAATATTACTTTTTCCCTTGCACCGGATCAAAATGGGAATCCAGCTTCTTTGAAAGAGTGACCTCTCTGTGGCCAGTGACACCCCACAACCTCTCTGGAATGTCTTTGGAGGAAAAAACAAAACAAAACAACAACAACAACAAAAAGAAAACAATTGTGGGCCCAAAGAAAACTAGGTTATTGATCCTGGAAAAAAAAATTCTATATTATTTTTTCAAACACCCAAAGTCAGGCAATCAAAATAACTGTAATACAGAACAGGGCAATTCTGAAACCAAGTAATAAACAGACATTGGGTGAAACCTTTCATGTGTAAGTGAACTCCCCTTCCCTCCCTGATCATCTTCCCAAAGGTTCTTGATGAATTAATTGTCCCATGATGCTACATGATGCAACATAAAGGGGAAAAGACTGATAGGAAATCAACATCTGAAGTATAGATGTTGCACAGAAAAAAAAAATAAGTAGCCATATCAAAGACTAAATGTCAAGAGACATTAAGAATAGAAAACAGAGATATGTGAGAGGGATTTTTATGTTTTAATTTAATTTAATTTACGTGACTTTTGTATTGGAGCCCACTGAACTGACAGGAAATGAAGATAGTGCCTATCCGGCCTGAGATATGTGAGGCTTGTAATTGAAATTAATTATATGTTCTTTACATTTTCCATTTCCCTTTTAAAGTTGGCCAGGTGGGAATGCTTTAACTCTTAAGTTACAGAGTCGGGTTCAAGCTCTGTAAATCCTTTACAGTCAACCCTCAGGCTTCCAGA